CATCAGAGAGGTCAGAATGGCTACCATCAATAAAACAACAAATGACAAGTGCTGATGAGGATGTGGAGAAAGGGGAACCCTAGTGCACTGCTGGTGGGAATGCAGACTGGTGCAGCCGCTATAGAAAACAGTATGGAGTTTCCTGAAAAAATTAAATATTAAACTGTCATTTAAGCCAGCGATCCCATATCTAGGAATATATCCTAAGAAATCCAAAACACCAATCAGAAAGAATATTTGCACCCCTCTGTTCATAGCAGTGCAATTTACAATAGCTAAGATCTGGAAGCAGCCCAAGTGCCCATCAGTAGATGAGTGGATAAAAAAGCTGTGGTATGTTTATACCATGGAATGCTATGCAGCTGTAAAAAGAATAATCTCTTACCCTTTAAGACAGCATGGTGGAACCTAGAGGGTATTATTTATGCAGCAAAATAAGTCAGTCAGAGAAAGACAAGTACCACATGATCTCACTCATATGTGGAATCTAATGAACAAAATAAATGGGTGAACAAAACAGATCCAGAGACATATTAGCATGGAACAGACTGACAAATCTCAGAGGGAAGGCAGGGTAGGGAGAGATTAACCTGGGAATTTATATGCATATATGCATACCTAACCCAGGGACACAGACAATAGTGTGATGAAAGCCTGGGGCTGGGGGGGCTCAATGCGGGGAGTGGGGAAGGGAAGGGGATATCTGTAATACTTTCAACAATAAAGATAAATAATAATAATAATACAAGAGAGAGAGAAAAAAACAACAACAAAACCAAACAATTCCTTTTAAAGGAATTGCAACAAAAAGAATAAAATACCTAGGAATAAACTTAACAAAAGGATGTGAAGGACCTAGATACTGAAAACTACAAAGCATTATTAAAAGAGATTGAAAAGGACACAATGAAATGGAAAGATACTCTGTGTTCATGGGTTGGAAGAATCAACATAGTTAAAATGGCCATATTTCATATAGCAATGGGGATTTAATGTAATCCCCATCAAAATCCCAGTGTCATTTTTTTAGAGAAATCGAACCAAAAAAATCATTAGATTTGTATGAAACCACAAGAGATCCAGAAAAACCAATACAATCCTGAGAAAAACAGAACAAAGCAGGAGGTATCACACTACCTGACTTCAAATTATACTACAGACCTACAATAATCAAAACAGCATGGTATTGGCAGAAAAACAGACACACAGACCAATGGAACAAAATTGAGAGCCCAGAAATAAAACCACATGTATATGGGCAAATAATTTTTGACAAAGGAACCAAAGCAAACAATGGAGAAAAGAAAGTCTCTTCAATAAATGGTGCTGGAAAGCCACATGCAATTAGATTACAGTCTGTACCCATGTACAATAATTAATTCAAAATAGATCAATGACCTAAATATAAGATCTCAATCAATAAATTACATAGAAGAAAATATAGGTGCTAAATTTATGGACCTTGGTGGTAGAGAACATTTTATGAATTTGACCCCAAAGGCAAGGGAAGTAGCTGCAAAAATAAATGAATGGATGGGACTATAAGAAGCTAAAAAGTTTCTGCACAGCAAAACAAAAGGGCAACCAACCAATCGAATGGAAGATGATACAGTAAAACCTTGATATAATGGACTAATTCGGGCATAGGGGTGTCCGTTAAAACTAAAGTCTGTTATAAATTAAGTATGTATGAAAAGCTGAATTTCACAGAAAAGTTTTCTATATGTATTACAGTAATTTTAAATTTATACTGAATAGGTCTAGTAAACGTGTGCACTCACCAGTCACTGTGAGTAAACAAATGCAGATGGCTGGGGCATGGCTTAGCACACAGAACATTGGCAGATAAAACTGCTACAGAAAGTCATGCCACGAGACAACAGAACCAACTGCCGTGTGGTCACGCACTAATCATTCACCAAGCATTGTTTTCGAGTAGTGACTCTTGGACTTAAATATGTAGATTATAGTTGTAGATATGTAATATTTATTTATGTTGGTGAAATTACTATGTTTTTCCCCAACATATGGCCTGTTTGCTGAAATTTGTTAAAAATAACAGTGAATTGATAACAAAAAAATAACATGTTAACTTAATTATAAAGAAATCTTGGTTAAAAACATTTTAAAATTGACAGGGTATTAATTTTCACATATCACATACAGACTAGATATTTTATCAGTTAAACTGAAGTCCAAAAAATCGAGGGTTTACTGTATTTGCAAGCAACAGCTCCGACAAGGGATTAATATCCAAAATATATAAAGAACTCAAACAGCTCAACACTAAATAAACAATCCAATTAAAAAATGGGCAGAAGACCTGAACAGACACTTCTCCTAAGAAGACATACAAATGTCAACAGATATATAAAAAGATGTTCAACTTCACTAGCTATTAGGAAAATGCAAATCAAAACTACACTCAGATACCACCTCATACCTGTTAGATGGCTATATCAACAAGACAGGTAATAACAAGTGTTGGAGAGGCTGTGGAGAAAAAGGAACCCTCATTCACTGCTGGTGGGAATGTAAACTGGTAGAGCCACTATGGAAAACAGTATGGCTGTTCCTCAAAAAATTACAAAGAGACTCACCATATGACCTAGCAATCCCTCTTCTAGGTATCTACCCCAAAAACTCGAAAACGTTTATTCACAAAGATATATGCACCACTATGTTCATTGCAGCTTTATTCATGGTGGCCAAGACATGGAAATAACTAAAGTGTCCTGCGATAGAGGACTGGATAAAGAAGCTGTGGTACATATATACTATGGAATCCTACTCAGTCATAAGAAAGGATGAAATACTGCCATTTGCAACAACATGGATGGACCTTGAGAATGTTATCCTAAGTGAAATAAGTCAGGCAAAAAGCTAAGAATCATATGATACTCGTATGTGGGATATAAAACTGAAACTCATAGACACAGACAACAGTATGGTGGTTATCAGAGGGAAGGGGGTGGGAGTAGTAAAGGGTAAAGGGGGCCAACTATATGGTAAGAAAAGATTATTTGACTTTGGGGGAGTGGGCACACAATGCAATATACAGATCATGTATCACAGAAATGTACCCTTGAAACCCATATGATCATATTAACCAATGTCATCCCAATAAACTTAATTTTTAAAAAGCAGGCTAAAAAAAGAAAAGAAAAGGTTATGCATTACTGTGCTGGAAGACAACAAATACCACACAGAGGAAGATTATAATGGAAGGCAATATAGCTGGCTTCTTTAGACTTTTAAGTCCCTAAACCTAGGCTTTATATCAGCTCAGCCCCATACTAGCTTTGGAAACTTATCCTCTCTAAGCTTAAGGTTCTATCAAATGAAGGGGTGGGACCTCAAAGATCCCTTCCAGTTTCTTTTCTTCCCTCTAATTAAAAAAAAAGGTAGCAGCCTCAAAATAAAGACATGAGTATAAAAGTATTAAATGTTTTATCTTGAAAGAGAAGAAAGCATTCACAGAGCTTATATTTACTGGATTCAGTAATCTGGTAATAGCTTTCTTTGCTATCACCTGTCATAAATACAACTGATAAGCAGGAAATGTAATATGTGTTTAAAGAATAACTCCATCTTCATATCAGTGTATTGGAAACAAGAGTAAAGAAATAAATACTGCTTTTAAAAAAACAAGAGGCGGCCATCCAATAAAGTCAAAGTAGTTTATATTTCAAATTTGAAGTAGCTTTTAACCAGCTACCATAGTAAGTCAGAGCCCATTTCAAAAAGAAAGAAAATTCCTATGTTACAGAAAGATCTAAACATTATCTTTCATATTAAAACCCAACTCTTTCTTCTTTAATATCTTCCAACTACACAAACATTGATTATCTCTAACCTAGTCAACATTAAAGTGCTGCCATCCTCCCTCATCAATTACATTCAAATCTTCCCTTCATTCTACATATTCACTGTTAGACTCTATATTCTGATCTTCAGTACAGTTCCTATTGCGATTACTCATCTTGTCCTGAGATATATACACGTGGATTCTCTCAAGGTTGGTAAAGCCTAAATAAAATTACCATGCAGAGTCAGATTTCCACAAGAGCAGGACACAGACTTTTCACTAAGCATATGCTGAATCACTGGTATGAACACTGGGTTAAGAATTACGAACAATACTGCAACAGATCAATGGCCTACTCACAATTCTTTTTAAAAAAAATGTTTTTATTGATTCTAGAAAAAGAGGGAAAGGGAGAAGGGGAGAGAGAGAAACAAACATCGATGAGAGAAACAATGATCAGCTGAATCCTGCATGCCTCCCACTGGGGATCGAGCCCATGACCCTGGAATGTGCCCTGACTGGGAATTGAAGCGGTGACCTCTTGGGGCACAGGGTAACCCTCAACCAACTGAACCACACTGGCTAGGGCAACTCACAGCTCTTTTAAGTGGACCTAAAAGAGATGCTAGAGATTAAGCTGGCTCATCATCATCTTTAAGGGTAAGACATGTCTTCTGAATATTGCTAACTTCTCAGAAAGACTCTTGAAAAGATTCATTTCTTCCAACCTTTAAAACTAATGCAACCACAAGTACAGGGTTGCTGTGTCCCCCAAATGAGGTAATTTATGTAAACCTGCTCTTTGAAGAACAATGCCCTATATACATTTAAGAAAGTCTACCATCATCTCTGTCATAAAGGACCTCTATTCACCTACCAAAGGTGCTAAACATGGAGAGTAGAGCCAAAAAATTAACTTTCTTTGCTATATCTTTTAGGATTTTCTTCAAGTAGTCGATATTCTCTCTTCTATACAGCAATACATTTCCCCATTTCTTTCCTTCAATCCCATGTTAACTTTACTTCTGAATCAAATGAAACAGGAATTTCAATATCAAATAAAGAACGTGCATGACACACCTTTCCTGGGATATATACACATGAATGGACGCTACTGATGCATAGTATATATCAAAGGCAAAAGCAACAAAACAAAACAAACCCAATTGCAACAACTGAGGCCATGACTTACCTTCTGGCTCACTATCTGACCCGGAGAGACTACCATAGCTGTTCATCAGTGAGCACAGGGCTGGTGTTACTTCCTTGGGTATGACAGTACTTTGTGGTTTCTCCTCTTTATCAGACTCTGAAACAGAAAGGAAAAGCACTAAGAGTAAAACAGTATACCAAAAACATCTACCACCATAAAAAGAAAGCTGACAGCTCCCCACTTCCTCATGTGTTAGTAAAAAGAAAGTAATTTCTGATCATTTCCCAAATCTTCCCAAAGAACAAAACCCAGGAGGCCTGAAAAATTTCCCCTTGGTTTAAATCTTCATGTTCAGAGAAACAATTTGCCCCAAAGAGAAGACACAGGGGCAAATGGAAGCTATACACAGCGCTGTTACTTACCATACTTCACAGGTTATGGAATTTGGGCCTTCTTTAAATTAATTTAATTATACAGTCTTTGCTATTAATTTATTTTATTTACTTTATTTATGCTATTAATATTATTAAGATAGTAGAAAGACCAGAAATTTAACTTCACTTGATTAGGATCACTGACTCTGAAAATTAGATTTAGGAATAAAATATAAAAATATCCACCTGTGTTGTTTTTAAGACTGGTTTTAAGGACAGAAATAATATTTATGTCATTCTATAGATAAAGGCTTAATCAAAGAGTTTGCTGAAATTAATCTGCCCAAAGTTTTTATTATTTGGAACTTCTAAGAACTTAAGTAAACAAGCCAAGCATGAGAACTGAGCAAGTACTCAAGAGCCTGCCAAAGGTAAATTGTTTGATCAGAGCCCAACAAGCCTAGCTGTAGCCCCAGGACACCACCTATTACATTTGTTTTTGGCAGCTCTAAAAATATATTAAATCTATTCAAAACAACCAATAAAAATAAAGCCCGACCGAAGAATGAAGACAATAAGTAACTTGTCTATGTAGTGAACTAACTCAACCCCAACCACTATGAAATGTTTCAAGACAGCACTTAATGTTCACTAAATCAGTCTAGGGGAAAGCAAAACATGCCAATAGGAAATGGGAGTACTTTCTGTGAATGTGGAACTACCACCTTCTAGTGGTTCAAATTGAATCCTCTCTCTTCCACCCATCCACGATATCCAGCACCACATCCTCCAAAACCTGCTTCTTGTCAATTTTAAGCTAACTAACCACCTTTTCTCCTGGGCTAATAAAGGGAAAGGAAACTATGTACTGTATTTATCTAGGTAGATGATGATAGATAGATAGATGATGATAGATAGATATAGATAGATAGATGATAGATAGATAGATTAGATAGATAGATAGAATTAGTATAGAAAAACATTATTAGTGGATTTTTTAAAATCTACAATATTAATAAGGAGACTGTTCATCCCATTGTTTGAATGATAATAGGCCAAACTGTATTATTTCCTTCTAAGATCCAAAAAGAGGCATCAAAAAGTACAATCCATGTTCTTTAAGAGCATGAGCACATTTCATCCTTATGGAGTATCACTTTCAGTATTAATTACAGGTGATGAAACCAAATTCAGGGAATCTGAGTAGCTCTCCCTCTAGGTAACAAAATTATACAACAGTTGGGTCAAATTTAAGTCCTGGCCATGTGACTCCAAATCCCAATTCTTAACTAGTGGGCTAGAATATCTCCTACAGATATAAAGTCCTCTTAATAAAATGAAGACATCCTAACAAAATGTCTCAATCATTTGGGCCTGATATTTCCTACAGCTGTCTGACTCACTTCAGAATCTAGTACAATTTGTCTTTCAGGCCCAGCACACCAGTGAAGCTTTCCCTGACAAGTTGACCTGCTTCCTCTGTGTTGCCAAACCTAGAAGTCATTTCTTGGTTCTCATCTTACTTAACTTAGTGACAACATTTGATAGTAATCATGTTTTACTTTTTTTTAAAAAACATTTTCTTCATTTGGCTTCCAGACTCCCATCACTTGGCTCTCCTTTCCCAGTCTCCCTACTGAATTCTCATTCACCAACTTTCAAAATTTTCAAGCGCCCCTGGTTCCAATCTTCAGCAAGTTTTTCTCTTTATGCCTCCTCCTCTTATGATTTCATTTCATCCCAAATCTTAAAATACTATCTAGATGCTGGTGAATAATAAATTTATAGCTCCAGCCTTCAATTCTCCCCTAAATTCCAGAATAATCTAACTGCGTATTCAACACCACTACCTAATATTTGGGGGAGACATTTTAATGCTATATAAATACCCTATTTTACCTTGAAGTGCTGCCACCAATTTTACCATTCATCAGTGGCTCTTGCCTGAAACAATTATTACTGTGTTCTAATGGTGACTTTCTATTTTTCCCTAACCCTTCTACAATTATTATTTGAAATTCTTGTATAAAAAAGATTTGTCCGTCCTCTCCCATATTTATTTATACTACTATGGACTCATGGACATTTACTTTATTCTTTGGGTTATAATCTATTATTATTTATTTTGTGGCTCAAAACTGTTCCAGCTTTAGCCATTGGGAGACTTCCAGTTGGTCCCTATATCCTTGTGATATGCCCACATCCTAATGTTTTTTTAGCACTTTCTTACTGTCTGGTACTGTATTAAATGCTCTAGGCTCACCTTATATTTTCCCTGTCCCAAACTTCAATCATTTCTCCAAAAGGCTCTAGTCCAATCTCTTTAATTGGAGAATGGTAAAACCACAATCTGGGTGATTGGTGTACTCATTAGTAAGAGTGTCACAAAGCTCACTATACTTGACTGCCTTCCCAAAGGTTAAGAATTAGGAGTTCACACAAATGAACAACTCCTTCCCTACTTTATTCCCCCTCAACTGTATTTCAGAGATCCACCACACATAGTACACTTTGAAAAAGGGCACTGTCCTTTTGACTTGATCAAAACATCCTCCACAGTGACTTTTCGTCTCAAAAGAGAAAGCTGTTCCCAAAATCCCCTAGATCCACCTAGCAGCTCTAACATGGGCATTTTTAGCAGCTATCCTGGAAAGACTATGCCGAAGGCACTGTACTAGCCGACAGAATAATACTCAACAAACTTCACTCACTTTTTAATAAAAACGGTCAAAACATTTCTCTAAACTAAAAACATCGGTATAAAAACAGTAGCAATAAAGATGATAAAATCAAACTTTAAAATGATTATGAAATACCAGCTCAAATAATTTATCTTAAAGTTAAAACACCAGTGATATTTTTCTTATGGTAAATCTCACCTCTAGTATATACATATCGTATTCCAACTAACCAAAAATATAATACAATAATCCAAAATTTATCACTAGACTATGAGTTTCTTGAAGTCAGGGAGAGACTTCTCTGAATTATAGTGCTAGGCAAGCAAAAAGTAGGACCTCAGTAAATCCCTCTTAAAATAAATATTTTTAAAAATTGCTTTCTGAATGTCTTGCCCAACTCTAAACACTAGTTGTAAAAGCTTCGCATCTGGCTTCTTTCTACAACTTACTTTTTTCTTGTCTCTCTCCCTTCCTCCTCCTACCATTTCCTATTGCCCTTATGAAACAAAACACAGTTACATGCTCAAGAACATTTACAATTTAAGTCTCGTAAAGAAAATGCTATCTATTGAAAAAAAATCACCCTTAAAAAATGAGAACTTTGCTTTATGGTTTCCAACTCTCAAAAATAGATATTTAAAATGGGCATTCGTGACAGCGGATGTGTTAGGCCTGCGTATTTTCTTACTTTAGCTTCCACCTTCAATGATGAGAATCATCGATCGGCTGCCTCCTGCATACCCCCTACTGGGGATCAAGCCTGAAACCTGGTCATGTACCCTGACCAGAACTGAACCGTGACCTCCTGGTTCACAGGTGACCACTCAACTGCAACTGCTGAGCTATACCACTTGGGCAACATCTACCCTTTAAACAACAGAAGCCCATTTGGCTTATGCCAATGCATACTTAGACTGATGTCCTAGTTAGTGTTCTATGATAATAGCTATATTGTAACAAATGACTGAAAAATTGGATCCTTTTTGTTTTGTGGATGCTGAGGTGCTTAAGTCAGTGATGCTCAAGGATACATCACTGACCAGCTCCTTTCTTTCTAGCTCAGTTAAAACTTATTAAAACCACATGCCAGGAAAGCCATAAAACATGTTGTATGTATATTTAAAGAACAGCAACAAATTAAATGTGGTCCTAAAAAATTAGGTACCAAAAAGATTAAAAGAAAATCTACTGACAACAGACCATACTCAAAACTGACAAACGGGGAGACTCCAAATGACATGCTTCCCTTTGAAACAATGTCAACCCCACATTTAAAGCATCTGCGCAATCAGTGAGTGTTAACAAACTACCAAGTATCACAAAAACGAGAGCTCAGTATATGAGGTTTATAAAGGTTGAGAACTGTTGTCTTATCTAAAATGTGAATGCTGATGTCTGGATAAGATTCTGAGCCAAAAAAAAGGGCAAAAAATGTAAGAACTGCAAGATCTCCATTTTGAAAGAGAGCTTAGTGCTGAAAAGTGTTAAGTGCCATGTGAGAGCACGAACAGGGCTCCAGTATCACTATGCTGCCCTTGGACCTGCAACTTGAAGAATAAGCACATACTGGGTTTGACTGGCCCAAGGTGAAGGAAGCTGCCTCCAAACAAGTATAAGACTGATCTACAGGAGAACATTTAGGCCATGTGAAAAAAATGGTACATGTGGTTTTCTGCAGCTCTACCTGGAAAGAAAAGTTGAAGAACCAATGGTCTAAACACTGATTTGGAAAATGTAAACATCCAGAAGTAATCTGAGGTAAAGGATAACATGAATTTACATGGAATTTTTCCCACAAAATGAGGAAGCAAAGTATTTACTAGTGTTGCTCATATCTAATGTGTCTCTTAAAGACTTAACTACAGGTTTAAGTAAAAGCAAAATATATATCATCTTTTTGTTAGTATTTCACCAGATTAACACATACTGATATGAGAAAACAGCCCTTGCTCAGTGGCTCAGCTGGTTGGAGAGTCGTCCTGTACACCAAAAGGTTGCGGGTTTGGTTCCCAGTCAGGGCACATACCTAGGTTGCAGGTTCTACCCCCAGTGGGCATGCACTCTTTCCCTTTTCCGCTCTCTTTAAAAATCAATGAACATATCCTCAGGTGAAGATTTTAAAAAATTCTTTATAAAATGGGAAAACAGAATTACTCATCTACCAAAGCTAACAAAACAAAACAAAAAGAACAAAGACCACTCAATGCTACAGAGTTCTTCAAATGTTCACTTAGAGAACTGCAACAAGTGAAGAATTACATAATTTTCAAATTAGTAACTTGTTGATAATAAAAATTATAATTTTTTTAGACAAATAAGACTTCACACTTAGAGGAAGTATGGTGCGCCAGTGGAGTCAGACTCCTAAGTTCAAACTCTGGCTCTGCCGCTAACTAGCAGTAAGACAAAGGTAAATCACTTAGCCTGTGTTCCTCAATTCTAAAATGGAAGTAGCAACAGTACGTATGTAAAAGGTTTGTTATAAGGAAACAAGTTAACATATACAAAGCATTTAGAGCACAGTAAATACCTTATTCAATAAGTGTTAGTTGATGTGAAATGTTATCTTATTTTTGGCCCAACATTCTCTTAGGCCAAGATTGTTTTCCATCCTAGTTCAGTCAGTGAATTAGATATCCCAATTCTTGCTGGCCATAAGTTCATTAATTTGTCATGTGAAGCCACTGTCTTCCAGGCTGAACAGAGCCTGCTAGCAAACCTACAATGTAACCTCAATCCACTCACTAATACTACTCCTTTGCAAATGAGGATACACATGCAATTAGATAAAGCCTCCCCATACTATTAGAAGGAAAGATGGTGGAAATATTACATATACATTTTCACTTTTCAGAAGAAAAAATGGAGTCTCAAGGCTGAATGAGATCTGCACAGGATAGCAGCATTTTGGTTCTTTAATTCTTCAACTTATAAGCAAGAGTAAACTTGCCCCAGAAGTTCTAGAGTGAATTCAATAAACATATAAATATATTCTATGCCCTGAGAAAGAAGAGTATTACTCAGATACAATGAATTAATATTATTTACCCAAAGAGATATGTTTATGCTCAGTAGCATAAATACTAGCTTCCATTAGGACCACTACTTGATAGGTGGGGGGGGGGAATCATATAATTGAGCAAATTTGAATCTATAGCATCAATACTCTCAGGACAATCTTAAGAACAGTTCCAAGATTACATCATACTATGGAAATTATCCAACATATATTATCTTCCATATCCTGCCTACCTCATATGCCCACCCCCAAGGTTCAGAAAAGATGTCCTGAAATAAGGTTTTTGACAAGGAATCCCTGTTAAAAAATAAAAACAAAAGCATCATTCTACATTTTTACATATTTGCTATTAAACTCTCCACAAACAATGCTGTGAAGAATCAACTTCAGCTTCACCGCCTATACTTATAAACACAGTTTTCCTGTTTAACTTACCAGAATCAGTATTTACCAAAACACTCAGAGGGTCTGCATTTGCCTCGGGTGGACCTTCGGGCTTCGAATCACACAAGCCATTGCCTAATCCAATGGCTGCTCTCTGTCCAGCACGGTCATTTTTCCATTTGTGATGTCTGCCAGGACTTCTGATCTTTGCCATCTGTGAATGTCTGGACATTCCCTTCATCTTACTGTAATGAAAAAAAAATGCAATTCTTAATATAAAAGACACTGACCTTTCAAAAAATATTTGAAAAAAGTCTACTGAATGCAAAAGAAATCTAGCTGTCAATCACTTGTAGCTTAGTTCATTAAAGAGACCCGAATAAAATAAATTCAGTGGTTTCCAAAGACAGAGAACTCTATGGAAGAACTTTAAAAGAATAACACGCCACAATATACCATATTTTATCCATTCCAAGACACACATTTCCTCTGAAATTGGGCTATGTTTTACAATCAACAGCAGGTGATTTTAACCAGCAGTTTCCTTCCTATTGTACATAAAAGTGTTTCTTAGACTTTATAAAGTGTGTTAACTTTTGTCTACTCACTGCTAAGGAGCCTTCAAGGTCTGAAGCATTTACAAACAGACTACCTTGTTTGATTTTCATAACAACTCTTTGAAATTGATTAGACAGGCACTATTTACTTTACAGGAGGATAGAGTTATAGATTGAGCATAATTTCACAGCACCTCAAACCAAGTGCCCTCTCAACCACTACAATTACTCCTCTTAGAAGGAAAACAAATACTTACGTGAGCATATTCTAATATAAACTACGTGTAGAAAAAAGGCCATTTTATTTATTTTTAAAAATACTTTATTGACTTTTTTAGAGAGGAAGGAAGGAGAGAAAAATATTTATGTGAGAGCAAAGCACTGCCTCCTGGGCACCCCCTTCCAGGGACTGGGAATCAATGTGCCCTGACTGGGAATCAAACCAGCGACCTCTCCGTGCACGGGATGACGCCCAACCAACTGAGCCACACTGGCCAGGGCAAAAAAGGGCCATTTTTAAAAAAGGTTTATGCCCTTGCTGGTATGGTTCAGTGGAAAGAGCATCAGCCTGAGCACTGAAGGGTTGCGGGTTCAATTCCTGGTCAAGGGTTGCAGACTCAGTCCTGTTTGGGGTGTGCGTGGAGGTAACCAATTGATGTCTCTCTCTCACACAGATGTTTCTCTCTCCCTCTCCCCCCACCTCTCCTTCTCCCTCCCTCCCACTCTCTCTAAAAATCAATGGAAAAAATACCCTTGGGTGAAGATTAACAACAACAAAAAATGTTTACTATCTACATTCCCAGTAGACTATAATACAAGGTATCCTTTGGTGGGGCTGAGTTTTCACAAAGATACATATATTTATCCTAGTCATTTATCAGGCAAAATTCATTTCTCCATTAATAATGGAGGCTGCAGTTAGGAGTATAGAAATTAAAAATCTGGGTTCAAATCCTAATTTTGCCACTTTCTGGTTATGTCTCTTGGACAGTATTAAGACCACCGAGTCCATTTACTCCCTCATCTGTAGAATGGGAATCATAGAGACATACAGAGAATTACTATAAAGTGCTTTGCGTCTAGAACAAGGTAACACACTGGGCCCTTAATAAATGGTAATTATCATAACATTTTCTAAATGATTTGCTAAACCAACATATTCAGTTAGTATCTCTGCAATACAGAAGTTCTTAATACTTTTAGACTCACCATAATCTTTACAGAGTCTCATCCAAAAAATCATATATATGCTCCAAATTTTGCAGAGAACCATGGATCAGTTTCCAATTTCCATCCAGAAATGTTGGGCTAATACCTCAACAAAGTCATCACAGCTAGCAAACAGAGTTGCTGCCTCTGGCCCACCGTCACCCTGAGGATAATGAAGAGAGGCCCCTTCCTCAGGCTCCCACTCACAGATGCCTTCCTGTATCCACTCAGAGGTGCTGCCTGCACCTGACCACAGCTCGCTTTTGAATGATCATCTTTAAGGTAATCACTAATAAGTAATGAGTTAAGATAACCCTTAATTGATGAGATCAATAAAAGACTTAATTGAAAAAGTAGTATATTTAGTATTTGCATTACACCACTGTTTGACAATCATTTAAAGGGAAAGTTTATTTAATCAACACTTAATGTAAGTAAAAATGTAGATGCACTTGAAATGGAGAGATTAGGAATAATTATAACTAAAAAGCGAATAGAGAGGAAAATATATTAAAAATTATTCAATTAATCCAAAAGAAGAAAGGAAACAAAAAATTAGAAAAAATGTAAAAACAAATAGGACAATGGTAGGCTGAAACCCAACTATATTAGTAATTACATTAAATGTAAATAAACTAAACCCTAGCTAAAAGAGAGAGATTTTCATCCTGGACTATAAAAAATAAGGTCAAATTATATATTCAATAAAGAAATATACTTTTAAATACACAGGCATAAAAGTTTAAAAGGAAAAGGTTAAAACACACTATCCTTGCCCTGGCCAGTGTGTCTAAGTGGTTAGAGCATCAGCCAGTGCACCAAGGGTCACTAGTTTGCCCTGGGTGGGGAGAGTGCAGGAGGCAACCAATTGATGTGTCTCTCTCACATCGACATCTCTCTCCCCCTTCACCACTCCCTTCTACCTTAAAAAATCCTCAAGTGAGGATTAACAAAAACAAAACAAACAAAAAAAACCCACTACCCTTTTTCCATTGTATCATATTGCACCTTTGTCATAGTCAGGTGATTGTCTATCAGTAGATCTGATATTGTGGTATTAGCCAACACTACACTATCTTCATCACTCTAACTTTCTTAGCTACTTTAGAACATTTGCATTTTCATATAAATTTTAAAGTTTAGCAATACTGCCCTCCTCCACCATTCATTCTACCACACCCCTGCAAAAACAAAACAAAACAAAAAACTTGCTAGGATTTTGATTAGGACCAATTTGAGAACTGATATAAACATATTGCATCTTCCAGTCCATGAACATTATATATCCACCCATTTATTTAGCACTTTAATGTTTCTGAGCAATGTTTTATAGTTTTCAGTATAGAGGTTTGGCAAATCTCTTGTTAGATGTAGTCCTAGATATATGATATTTTTATGCTATTGTAAGTAGTATCTTCTAAAAATGCATTTTCTAATTTTTGTTGCTAATATACAGAAATTAAACTGATTTCAAAAATATTGATCTTACATGTATTTGGCACTCTTGCTAAAGTCACTTATTAACTCTAATTGCAGATTTGTTTGGGGTTTTTACATATATAATCGTGTCAACTCTAAAAATTGACCGTTTTACTTCTTTCTTTTCAAACTTTATATGTTCTATTTTTTTCCTGCTTTATTAATTACACTGCCTAGGATCTCCAATATAATGTTGAATATAAGTGGTAGTAGTGGTTATCCTTGTCTTGTTCCCAACCTCAGGGGGAAAATGATCAGTATTTCACTATCATGATTTGGCTGTAGGTTGTTTGGAGATGTCCTTTATTAGACTCAGAAAATTATCTTTTATTCCTAGTTTTTTGAGTTTCTTCCCCCCCCCCTCCCCAATGGAGATTTAAAAAGTTTCTTATTAAGGTAATCCTATCACTTTACTCCCTCATTCTGTTAATGTGATAACATTTGATTTTCAAACACCAAACCTAATCTTGCTCTTGGAATAAAACCCATTTGGCAATGATGTATATCCTTTTTTCATATTGCCAGATTGATTTGCTAACTGTTTTAAAGGATTTTTGTGCCTCTGCTCGAAAGATATTTGCTTGTGATTTTCCTTTATTATATCAGGTTTGGATATCAAGATTATACTGGCCTCTTTACAAGCTGTAAAGTATTCCTTCATATTCTAGTTGCTGGGAGATTTTTGCAAGAATAGTATTTGTTTTATAAATGTTTTAAAGAATTAAACAGTAAAGCTAATGGTAACTATTTAGGCATCCCAGCCATCAGCCAGGCTAGATAAGCCATCAGCTAATCAACACCCATCTGTGACTGAGCCATGTCAAGATCAGCAGATATGTCTAACTGTACCCCAGCTATCCCCAGATGTCTGAACAACTGACTGATGTATTTTTTTTTTTAAAAGACACCCATTAAGAGCGCAAAATGGCAAGACACAAACTGTGAGACTACATCTGCAATACATATACTCTACTCAAATAAGAATTGTATCTAAGTAAATAATCCCTACAAACCAAGACAAGTAATCCAATTAAAAATGGATAAAGACTTGAAATAGTGTATCACAAGAGAATATAAAAATGGCCAATAAGCACTAATGATGTCAGAAGGCGTTGGACATCATTAATCATGAGGAAATGGTAATACATGAAAAGGTTTAACAATACCAAGCATTGACCAGGATACAGAGCAATTAGATGCCGTCAGTAGGAATGTAAATTGGTACAACCATTTTGGAAAACTGTTTGGCTGTATCTATCAAAGCTATACACATGGATGCCTTATGACCCAGTATACATATACATATATGTGTGTGTGT